ATAGAGCAGCTGGGGACTTTAGATCCAGAGAGGGAGAAGGACTATGTGCTGAAGACCGGGGGGAGCGGTGTGTGGGGCAGGCTTGCAGGGTATACCCTTTGGTTGGTTGATGATGCATGGAGGGGACTGGAACCACGGCAATGCAATGATATATGATAGAATGAATGTAAAACTAATATTCTCCCATGTAAACTATCATATAATTCACAATAAAACATTCAAAAAAATAACACTAATGATAATTTTTTAAGATGCTAAGGGATGAGGGATATCCTTCCATAGTCCTTATTTGTAACTGGAAATGCCATTTTAAAGTGACTTAATGATTATGTTGTCACGCTAGTTGCTATCCTGTTGACTCTGACTCATAGGAGCTTTATGTATAACATAAGAAATCGTTGCCTGATCCTATGCCAGCCAGCTCCATGCTCTCTGTTATATTTGAGCCATTGTGGTGTGAGAAGGAGCCCTGGTGGCACAGTAGGTTAAATTCTGGGCTGCTAACCACAAGGTGAAGGAGCTCTGGTAGCGCAGTGGTTACGAGTTGGGCTTTGAACCTCAAGGTCAGCAGTTTGAAACTACCAGCTCTTCCGCAGGAGAAAGATGAGGCTTTCTGTTCCAGTAAAGATTTACAGCCTTGGAAACCCTGTACAGGGTCGCTAAGAGTCGGTTCCGACTCCATGGTACATAACAACAACAACCACAAGGTAGGCGGTTTCAACCACCAACTGCTCAGCAAAAGAAAGATAAGACTGTCTGCTCCCGTAAAGATTTACAGTCTCAGAACCCCTAAGGAGTTGTTCTTCTCTGTCCCATAGGGTGGCCATTAGTTCGAATCAACTGGATGGCAGCGGTATGATGTGAGCAACAATGAAGCATCACGAAATGGCCTCATTAATGAGAATATCTTACATTTAGATTTCTTAGGATCCAGGTTCATAATATTATTAAGTGCATGAACATGACTTTCTAAGATTATTATGCCTAACTAATTGGTGTAGCACTATATGATAAACATTAGACTGCTAACTACAAGGTGGGCAGTTCAAATCCACCAGCGACTCCTTGGAAACCCAAACAGGATCACTTTGAGTTGGAACAAACTTGATGGCACTTAACAACAGCAACAATTACCAATTACTTGCCTTAGCAACTTTGATAAAGTAAACAATAAGGATAGATAGTGGATATTTTAATTATGTTATTATTTATAATTTATGTTTCTGTTCAGAGCATCTTGAACATGGCAGGTACTAAATGAATATTTCTGAATAAGTATATAAATAAAATAATGAACAAAACAATGCATGAATAATTGATGAAATAGATCTTAATATGAAATCACTATGTATTTACCATAGGTGTAAAGGAAAGTCAGATATTTTTAAAGACAGATTCAGAATAATGAGTCAGTATAAATGATCTCTAATGTGCACAAAAATTACATACAGAAAGTTGCCCTGGTAAGACTTGTGGGGCATCTTTTAGAGCTCCAGGACTCGTTGGAGAAATAACAGAAATGGAAGGTCTTTCCATCTTCTGAGATTCAAAGGAACTTGAACCTAAAATGAGGGGGGAAATTGTTAAAGTAACTTTTAGTAACATATATGTAAGTGTGGAGAATAAGTCTCTTTTATAAAACTTTACAATGCATCTATTATTTATATAAAATCATGTTCAGTACCATAGACAAGGAAAGAACATATTTTTAGTAGAACAGCTTATACAAGTATTCTGTTTTGTCTTCTATATTAAATGTATTTAAAATTACATAATCCAATACGGTCTTTGTTTTAATATGTAAGACTTTATTTTGTATATATTTGGAAGGCAGTGAGCTGCCTTCCTGTACCCTCAGATATATAGACAAAGGTTTCATATTTTTAATAAAGAAAACAGCAATTGTAATGTTAATAATCTTGGCCAAAGGATCATCTATTGTAAACTGTCATTACTGAGGAGCTACAATGAATGTACTCATATACATATATAGTATAATTTAAGAGTCACATCTAAGTCTACATGTCACAATTGTTTTAAACTCAGTTTTATCAGATATCTCAACTGTGGTCTTAAATATGAATATGAATCTCTTGAGCCTCTGAGTATGCTGCCTTTAATAATTCACATTTAACTTATTTTACCTTTATGCAGAGGAGGCTGGCTCTCTATTCAGTCACTTGGTGAGATTCTGTCTCCCTTTTTAAATTAAAGTTACTTATCTGCCTAGATTACTGCTAAAGTGTAACCTGCTGTAATCAGCAGTGTCTTTAGGAGTCCTGGTGGCATAATGGTTAAGTGCTTGGCTGCTAACGGAAAGTTCAATGATTTGAACTGTGAAAGAGATGTGGCAGTTGGTTTCTGTAAAGACTATAGCCTAGGAAACCAAACCTGTGGGGGAGTTCTACTCTGTCCTCTATCATGCCTATGAGTTGGAATTGACTTTATGGCAATGCGATTTTGTTTTATACAGTATCTATATAATACTATTACACCAGCAGCTATAACCTTACACTATTATACAGTATGTATAGAGTGCTATGTGGTGCTGTTGGTTAAGGTGCCATACTGTAAAGTCGGTATGAACCACAAGGTTGGCGGTTCAAGTTCACCAGCCACTCCCTGGAAACCCTATAAAGGGTAGCTATGAGCCGGAAGTGACTTGACAGCACTTAACAACAACAACAAATACAATGCTGTCTTACCAGTAATTATAACCTTAAACTCAAGTTGTTTATAAATTAGCAAAACCTTTGCTAAGAAATATTGTTGCCTGTGAATATGCTATATACATACTTTTTCTATACTCTAAAACTAAAGCCTAAATTAAGCCACATGGTCATTATTTTATGTCCCCAAAAGACAAGTTTTAATTTTAAGAAACAGTACAATAAAACTCTTTGTTACTACATGTCTTTTATGAGGTATCTTTACAATAATTTTTTCTCAAGGTCCAGTACAAAAACCTTGGTGCTTCTAATAATCAATTTGCTCCTAGTACTGCAGCTAATCAGTTTATTTTTAATTGTATAAATACTATAAACTATGAAATTGGTCCTATTTCTCTCTTTGTATTAATCATCAGAAAGTTCAAGGCCAAATCTGGGCTAATCTCCAGTAGGTATGCAAAACATGAAGGCATGTTATTTTATATACTAATCTAATTTCTGGGTCTTTGCTTTTCCTATACATTTAGTTTCTTCCTCTTTAGTAACAGTACTTGTCTCCCCTTTAAATTACCTTGTATTTTATATTTTTATAAGCTAGGCAAAAGTCTTTTGGAGATCAAATCCATGTATTAATTATTTAATTGATTACCAATCCATTTCAAAGTAAATTTATTTGAGTCACTTCCATATTCACCTCTTCTCTACTATACCCACTAATATCTAAGATAATATCTGATGCTTTGTTAGGATGGATTTAAATGATTTGTTAATGTGCTTATCTTCTTCAGGCTGTTTATAAGACTGAGCTGATTACCAATCACACAGAGGACTCCAGTATCACAACAACTTCTTATAGCCATCCAATAGAACTATTATTGGGTCTATTATATGAACTCTGTGAAGGTAAGGAACCCAGGTGGTGAAGTAGTAAAGAACTCAGCTGCTCACCAAATGGTTGGTGGTCAAAATTCACCAGATGTGAATAGAAGAAAGATGAAGCAGTCTGACTTCCTAAAGATTATAGTCTTGGAAGCTTTCTACCCTGCCCTATAGGAAGGTAATGGGTTAATGGGTAAAGGTCCTGCCTGTTATAATGCAGGAAGCTATTGCTAGTAAATATTTTCATATAACTCGCCCTCTGTCACCATGGGTTCTGCATTCACAGGTTCAACTAACCACCAGCTGAAAATATCGGGGGGGTTGGGGGGAAAAGGGAGCAATTAATGGAGAAAGCTTAGTTCAAAGGCTAAGAGGGAGTGCAAGGTGCTGCTTATATAATATTTACATTGTATTACGTATTATATGTAATCTAGAGATGATTTAATGTATACAAGAGAATGTGTGTAGCTTATGCACAAATATTATACCATTTGATGTAAGGAACTTGAGTACTGTGGATTTTGGTACCCATAGAAAAGAGAGGGGTCCTGTGACCAATCTCCTATGGATGCGGAATGGTGACAGTATTCTCAAAAAAGAAAAAAAGAGTAGAAAAACAAATCTTACAGTAAAACAAACCTCTCTGGAGTTCCTAATTGCTTTCATCCCTAAAATCTAACATCAGCGATGGCATCCATTCATTGGTTTAGTAATACCATTTTATTTAGAACAAATATCTAAGAAAATGGCAAACATTCAATTTAGTTCAATACAACTTATAATAAGAAAGCAATTATATACTCACTGGATTCTAGTGGAGGGTGGGAGCTCTCAGGAATCCTCGGAATGTCACTAAAAGAAACATGGTATGGTAAAGTCCCATTAGGTAAGTTACACTATGTGAAGAAACCACAGACACATTGTGTGTGAGTGGTGTAAACATCCTTTTGGATCTTTACAGGTGTGGAAATGGAAGGGAGTTACAACTAAGGTAACTACTAATGTGCATGAATGTTAAATACCACACATACAGAAAACTGCAGTAAAAAATAAGTTTTTATATATTTAATAGCAAAATACTTTAACATGACAACAATAAGATTAATATTGTGGCTAAAATTGTCACAATATTTTTACTACCAAAACAGCATGTTTTGGAAATAAAGAATGTTAAAGGTAATATTTTACTTCAAGTCAATAAAATCAAAGTGAGACAAATTTTACAAATCAGTAATATGCTTTACAAACACATCTGAAAGAGTTTACTGAATGGAAAGGATGGAAACATCTCTTGATAATAAAAATGATGTGCTGAATATCATGGGCAAAGTTAATAAAAATGAAAAGGATGAATTGCTCTGGAAATTAAAAATGGTTCAAGCTTGCAACAAAAAAAGCCAAAATATTTCATATATGTGAATATATAATAGATATACACATATATACCCTATATAAAGATTCACATCTTTATACTGAATTTATCTCAATATATGGTCATTTACTAGGTGGTTAGAAAGTGACTTGTTAGAACACCCATTCCTGCCACATTCATAAATTACTCTGAAGAAATACTTCATATCACCTCAGCTTAATCCATTATCTATTGTGATCTTACAAACCCTGGGCCAACGTGGTTTGGGAATTACACTACATAGAAATTACTTTATCTCTGCTTTTCCAAATATATTTTAGTATCAATTTAAAGCTATTACAATTATAAACATGACATATTAAAGCAGACTGGAGTTAGCTAGTACCAACAAAATTATCAGAATATTATTAACGAATTACTAACCACTTACCTTGTGACCTAATTTCACTTTGATTTTATTTGCACTTTTTTAGGGTAATGAAAACAAAATAAATTTTCTCTGATTGTTCTCTTACATTCTCATTTTTAATTTTGTGTGCATGGTAATTCTCACAACCACCTGCAATTTAATACTTTCTACAAATACATGTAATATTGTATATTCTATCAAATAATTTCTATTATATATTTTTATCCAAATTAGTTTGTAGAATAATTATGAGACTACTTAGCAACACCTAAAACACAAGAAATCAACATGTATGTTCTGCTAGATATGAGTAGAGTCGACTCAGTGGCAAATAGCAACATGGAAAATTCCTCTAAACTAATCTAGGCAAATAAAATTAATTTCTAAATTCCAAAAAAATCATTTTTTAGACAGAAATAACATTCTGTGAAATTCAATCTCAAAATTCATTGTCAAAATTAGAATCTGAAACTCTGAAACCAGCATTTTAAGCTTTAGATTCCATGTGTCTGTAAAAGATAGATTGTGAAAGCTGTTAAAAATGTTCAACATGATTTTGAAAGAAAAATCTGTAATATTAATTACATCAGTAATATTTTCAGGCATATATTTCCACTTAATGGTTACACAGCCTTCTTAACTGGTTATGTATCAAGTAAGGTGGTAGAATACTTTTAATCAAAATAGAAGCATAGAAGTCAAGGATAGCTATTTGGTAGGTTGGCAAAAATGGTTAACACCTCATGATGCCTAGTCTTTCTCAGACTGTGCTGATTTCTCTGTGTGTATACATTATAGTAAGGAGCTCTGGTAGCGTAGTGGTTACGAATCGGACTGCGAACCTTAAGGTCAGCGGTTCGAAACTACCAGCCGCTCCGCGGGAGAAAGATGAGGCTTTCTACTCCCGTAAAGATTTACACCCTCGGAAACCCTGTACAGGGTCGCTATGGGTCGGACCCGACTCGATGGCACCCAACAACAACAACAACAACATACATTATAGTTGGGGTTGCTCTAGGAACCTCTATGCTACTGTATCTGTAAATGAACTGTGAATAAATACTGCCTTCTGCCTTAAATGAATCACATTTGCAGAACAGAATAATTATTAATATATATATATATATGGAATTATTCTAACAATTTTCTATTAACTGGAAAGTTGATGCCAGCTTTATTACTTACATGTAATCCTTGTATTCGTCAGCTTTAGAATCCATAACAATTTAGGGTTTGGCTATGCATAGTATTACTTTTAAAATTATTTTCAAACAAAGTAAAAAATATGAAAATGTCTCATTCCAGTCTGCTTTAATTGTCTTAGGTTTCCAAGTCATCATGAATCAGATTTTATTACTTTTAAACTTCTACATATCTAAATGTATTTATCAAGGTGTACACACTTTATTTTAATTTTATATTTTATATACTTTTGATTCATTTTCCAATTTACTTACCTCTTTTCCAGCCTTATATTTACCTTAGCACTAAACACATGTTATATAAAACTAGTGTAAATTATAGTGTTGTTATTTTCTAATCTGTATGGAAATGTACAATATTTTTACTTCTAATAAGCACCACTTAAGAATTAGTTATAAAGCTAACCTTCATTTTACAGTTGTGTATATATATATATATATATATATATATATATATACACACACATATATTGAGTTCTGGTGTGGCACTGTAGGATAATGCTGCACTCGACCGCAAGATTGGTTTGAACTGCAAGGTCGGCAGTTCAAAACAACAGCAGCTCCTCAAATATCTTATACAGGGTCGCTATGGGTCAGAACTGACTCAACAGCACTTGACAATAACAACATGTATACATATAAATAAATAAGTATATATACACATATATATGTATATATATAAATATTTTTTGATTTTATGATCATGTATTCCAGTCCTTTGAGAATTAGGATAATTATATTTTCTTGTGTGTGTTGCACTGACATATATCCATGAGGTCAAAAAAATTTAAATGATCACTTTTTCAACACAAAATGTCTTGGAATAATGGGTCTATAATCTGGTAGCATAGTGGGTACAAATTGAGCTGCGAACCACAAGGTCAGCAGTTAAAAACCACCAGCTGTTCCGCGGGAGAAAGATGAGGCTTTCTGCTCCCGTAAAGATTTACAGCCTTGGAAACCCGGTTCAGGGTCGCTATGGGTCGGAACCGACTTGACGGCACTTAATAGCAGCAACAATATTTAGGAGAATAGGAAAAAAAAATACTCCCAAGAATACAGTGAAACATTAACTCAATTATAATGAGATGGACAAAATGTCTCCTAAAATGATTGACTGGCAAAATAAGTATTTATTTTGGACTATGTGGGTTTGCCAATATAGAGAATTCTATGCACAGTTATGAAAATATCCTATTGGTTGTAGATAACTAAATTTTGGTTAAAATTTAGGTTTTCAAAATAGCATATGAAATTATTAGATCCAATAAAAATGCTACAATATTTCATACTTCTTGTTTGATTTTTAAATAAAGTTGAAACTACCCACGGGCAAAGACATATATAAAAAATTCTGTTCTTAGTTGAATAATGAATGTAAAACTTAGGTAGACATATGAAATCATTATTATTTAAATATCATAAGAAGATGAGCTTACAAGTAATTCTTTTAAGGGAAATTATTGTTGTTTGTTATTAAAGGAAATAGTTCTCATTAAATCAGATTTTAAAAAAATAAGTAGTTCTGGATTAAAAGAAAATATTTTAATGTTATATTTCACTTGTAAAAAATACCTATTAATACCTTTTGATATAACAATGTCAAAATGTGGAGCTTCTAAAATGTAATGAAGAAAATTCAGTATTCAAATGCAAAAAAAATTTCAAAAAGTAAAATGTATGCCCATAACTGAAGAAAAACTATCCATGTTAACATGTATTGAATGAATGTATCACCTTCTTTTTTTAACCCTGCTTATACATGTAATTTACTAAACTTAAGAAGTAAGTTTTTTTAGCCTTACCCAATAGGCCTTGAAACAATAATTTCAACTTGAGGTTCTGATTTTGATTCTAAAATAATGTTGTAAACTTCTTCATTTGTAGCTCCCGGCAGGGGTTTACCATTCCATTCTAGAACTTCATCCCCTTGAATTTAAAAAAAAGGGTATTTTTTTACCTTATATATTCTGCTTATTTTTTCTTATCTTTTTTTTCTTTTCTATCAAAGAAATGCAAAACATTTACAAATAGTTTAATTCTCTAGGCTCTGGTCTTGAAAGTAAATGGACTGTCATATAATGTGAGCTAATTGGTTCTTCTAAACATCTTTTTCCTTTCCTTACTTTTCCCATCAGAATATTACTGGACACTGAAAACAGTATAATAGAAAACTAACTTTATCTTTTGAGATATACCAGAAAAAATATAAAAGAATTTCATGCTATGGGATGGAACTTGCACAGCCTATTTGGAAACATTAAAAAATAAGAATTAGCAGCATGCCCTCCATAGATAGAATCAATGTAGGTGGATCTATATGTGAAGGATTCTTATTAAACTCTTTATTGAAATAATTTTATTTTTGTCAGAGACAGAAATTAACATTTGTTAGCATGAATTTTCCAATTCTAAGTCATGCTTTATTGTCTTTACCAGATGTACAACAGAATAAAAATGCATGAAAGGATTTGAATTCACACCCATAGGGTAACGCAGGTAGCTTAATGGCAAGATTACAAGCAAGCAGATGTAAAACTGTTGCATGACAGTTAACCCAATTCCAGATGTTCACAACAAACATGTTCTATACATAATAAATATATATTTGTTACCATTAAAGTACAAATAGAATGTATTCATAAAATCATAAATAATAACAGAACTTATTAATTTATTATATATTCTAAGATTGAACAAAGACAGTAATAGGATGTGCCTAAAAAGATTTGGGCTGATAACATGTTATTACTTTAGATTTTAGATTTTCATCATAGAACATTAGTAAACAAACATATTTTCATAAATATGAATTTCCATAAATATTTAGACTAGTGTTAGGACCAAAGGGTTCTAGGCCTGGAACCTTAAATTGTCAACGGCAAGCCCAGTGAATTATTCCAGCCTCAGTGGTACCTTGAGATGTCTTAATATTTGATGCTTGTGCTTATGTGTTATTCTTAGTGCCTAGACCATTTCAGTAGCTAAGGAAATACGTGTTGAGCCAAAAAGAGAAAATCGTTTTTACATATTTTAAAGCTAGATGTAAATACAAATATCAGGTCTTTATAAAATCAAACAGATTTTTTGCTTTTGTTTACTAAGACTTTAAAAGTGACTCATCTGCCCCACCTCCAGGTAGTTCCCAATGGAAAAATAAATAAACAAATCTTTGAAAAGCATATAATGCTGTTTCAGTTTAATAAAAGTGTCTGATTAGTACCAATAGTTTATTGATTTCTGTTAGAATGAAGCAATTAGCTAGCAAAGTTTTTTTAAAATAGGCATTGAGGCTATTTCACTTTTTAAAAACAAGAAAAAAGATAAAATAATTTCAAATAAAAGTATATCAGAAATATTTTCAATTTATTTGACCAAAGGAAAAATGTTTATGTTGTGACTCCATACATATTATAAGCATGTCTATATGTAAGGAGCTCTGGTAGTGTAGTGGTTACGAATTGGGCTGCAAACCGCAAAGTTAGCAGTTGGAAACTACCAGCTGTTCCGTGGGAGAAAGATGAGGCTTTCTGCTCCCATAAAGATTTCCAGCCTTGGAAACCAGGTACAGGGTCGCTCTGAGTCAGACCGACTCCACGGCACACAACAACTACAATATATGTATGTAAATATATCTATAAACTAGAAAATATTTCACAAAACAATACTTACCCTGATGATTTTCTTTCTATTATGTATGTTGATATTTCTATTCTATTATGCTCTGTTTCATTACTTTTTTAATGCTGAATACAAGCCATTCAATTTATTTTTACTATCCAGCGATGAGTTGCAAACATTTTGCAATAGTACTTAATAATAAAATTCCCTTTAAACAGATCAAACTGGAGGCAAAACTTTCAATATAAAATTACCTTAATGTACGTACTTATTTGTTTTCTCAACAGGAACTCCTAAGTCAGGATTTATTGATAGAGCCATACAGGAGATTCATTTTAGGGACAGAAGATGGACTAGTAGTAACAGGGAATTAGTCATTACTGCTCCAGATGGAAAATCGGGAAACATTTCAGAATTTAGACAACACCAGATGAGTTTTGAAAAGTGGAAAGGATTTTCACATGTAAAGTGAAAGGTAGTGGAAGTGACTGAAGAGTTAGAAAAAGATAAAGTTACAAACCTTTGACTTCCATAAACAACAACTGGGAGACACTGAGGAGTAGGTCACTGTCAATTTTGTTTTAAAGGGATGAACTTAATAGCAGAGTACATGAACTTGAGGGGGTTATGACTAGAGAAAGCTAAGGAAAGATTAAGATGACAAATGTTGAATATAGGTCATACTGATTAATAGAGCTGTAGTTTTATAAGTTAATGATAACGTATTTCAAGACAGAAAAAAAAAAAGTGGTTCTGAAGTCATAATGATAACATAGATAATATGTGGTCTAATTTACAAAAAACACTTTTTTTCCCCCTTAAATGCATCACTTACTTAAAGTGAAAAGTGCACTTATCCATTTTAGCATTTTAACTTTAACATTTTTAGGTTCCAGGCTCATAAATGTATTAAATAAATGAAAGGATTCACTAAGGGACATTTTATTTAGAGAAACCCTTTCATTTACTACTTAAGTATTCTATTAATATACACAGACCAAAATCAAAAGTCATTACACTTATAATCTGATACACAAATTCAAATCTTTGTTCAAATATTAGCATAGTCAGAGTTATAATACTTTGCGAGGTTTAAATTTGAGTCATCAAACAAGCAAAGACTCAGTTCACAGACAGAATCACTCTTGATAAAGTACGCATTATTTTCTTGTTGAATCATAATTTCACTGATCCTCCATGTAGGCCAATGGAAACAAGAGTCAAGAAACCATGTGACATATTGCAATAGGTAAATCCGCTGCAAGGCACCTTATTCAAAGTGATAAGGAGCAAAGATGGAAATTTGAAAAATAAGGTGTGTCTGATCTAAGCCATGGTATTTTTAATCACCTCATATGCATGCTAAAGTTAGGCAATGAATAAGGAAAACCAGAAAAAAATCTATGCATTATGATTATGGTGTTGTAGAAGAATATTGAATATACCATGCACTTCCAGAAGACTGTATAAATCTGTCTACAAGAAGCATAGCCAGAATACACCTCAGAAGTGAAGACAGTGAGGCTTTGCCTCACATACATTGGATATGTTATCAGAAGTGACTAGTCTCTGTAGAAGGATATCATACTTGATAGAGTAGAGGACCACCAAAAAAGTGAAATGTCTTCAATACATGGACTAACACAGTGACTACAGGAGTAAACTTAAACACAGTAACAACTATGAGGCTGGTACAGGATTGAGCAGTGTTTTCTTCTGTTATATATAGGGTTGTCAAGAGTAGGAATTGATTGGATAGTGGCAGACAATAAAACAGTGCATCTCTATGCATCTCCCAACTGTATGATATATGGAAAGATACCAGACTGCTAACTGCAAGGTCTGTTGTTCAAACTCAAGAGCGGCTCCTAAAAACCCTACAGGGTCATTGGGAGTCAAAACCAACTCTTAGCAACAGCAAATCCTTGATTTGTGCTTTCTTCCTATACAAAACCTCCATTGCAAGTCTCCACCAAAGAAAAACCTAAAATTATTTTGAAGTGATACAATGGCAATCCAACATCAAAAGTTTCTCTAAGGGTACAAGAATATATTCCTAAATAAAGGTCTCAAGAACTATAGTCTTAAATAAATATTAAAAATATAGACTGCAGTGTTCTTTTTATTTGTTATGAGTTATTAAGCCCAGTCAACTCTGTTATCTCTGTAATTGCCTGGCAAATATATAAGCAGACACTTTAATCAAAAGACATCAACTAAATTCTAAAGTACTAAACATCATGCAAACCAATGTTTATGTGACCTAACTATAAAGAAAAGTAAACAATTGATCAAAAATAGATTTAAATGTATGCTGCTGCAATATATGGGACATTTGAATACAATCAAACAATTTTACTATGTTATGTTAAAGTTACAAAAGCAATATAATGAAAATTTCCAAATGCCAAAATATGTAAATTAAAAAATATTATATAATCTGCATAAGAAATGCATGATTATGCTTTATTAAACACATTGCTCTTGAATAAGTGTATTGGGGCACTCTGAAAAACTTAAGGAAACCTAGTGGCATAGTAGTTACAATGCTTGACTGCAAAGTAAAAGGTCAATGGTTCAAACATACCAGCAGTTCCCTGGCAGTTTGTGTCTGTAAAAACTTACAGGAATGCTACTCTGTGGGGAAACACAGTGGGGCAATGCTACTCTGTCCCACAGGATTGCTATGAGCTGGAATCTACTCAACTGCAATGGGTGAGTTTATGAAAAACTACTGTAACTGAACTATAGATACATATACTGAGTTACCTTTTTCACAAAGCTTAAATGTTTAAGATTCTGAAGTTTTGTTACAATTTATGCTACAATCAATTAGCATTACTTCAGTACTTCACATCTATTTTACAGAAATTTAAAAAAATCCATACTTATTCTCCCCCAAATTACAATTGATCTTTGATGCTAACATATTATTGTAAAAGGTTAAGTATACAAATAGGAAAAATGTTTTATCCATATATTAAAATATGTTATCTATTTAATTTACTTATATACAACTTACCCAAAATTGAAAGCCACCAATTCATGCAGGGACAACTAATTGTTTAAAATGTAAAAAAAGAAACTTTACCTGCTCTTAGGTGTCCAACTACATCTGCTAGGCTACCCTTCTTTACTTTGGTGATGAAGGCACCAAGGCGTCCTAAGTCAGTCATTTTTCCTCCAACAACCTGGATAATTATAAATTTATAAGTTCCCAAGTCTCATATTGAAAAAGAAATCCATTAGTTTGAGAATTACTCCTGTAGCCTGCTATGATGCACTTAGAATTCAGTGCAGAGACATTAATGGAGCAATAAATATTTTTGATCCAAGGAACTGGCATGGCAGTATAGTTTTGAGAAGAAAGCAAAATCTTATTAAATTAGAGATAACTGTGACACCTGGTGTGGCATGGTAGGCTAAGCATATAAGCACTGGACTATAAGATCAGTCTGAATAGCAAGGTTGGTGGCTCAAACTTACTAGCCACTCCTCAGAAACTCTATACAGGGTTGCTATGAGTCAAAACCAACTCAAAGGTACTTAATAACAACAATGTATCCCGAGGAAGTTTATGTACTAATTCCTTCCATTAGTCTAACAATATATAAGGCCACCATGACTAATGTATACAGGCAATCCCAGGTTATGAATGAGATTGGTTCCTCACTGCTTCAGAATTTGTCAGACCTTTGAATAGGTTCTGCCCAGTTCAGTCACAGCTGAGAAAGTGTCAAGGGCACAAACATTAATTTTTTCAAAATTATGGTGAACTGGAAAGAAAACAACAGGAAAAAATAACCTATTGAAGCCTTGCTAGAAACTTAATCTCCCTCACATTGCACAGCAACCAAATCTCTTTCCCTCAGATTTCCAAGCACAGTCCATGACAGCTCTGAACCACTCAAAGACGGTGGCCTCCTGTTCAAACATAGTGGCTAATTGTACAATAATCCAACCTCACATTAAGCTCCTCATTATGCCTCTTCTAAGTCTCCCTTGAGCTGCCAAAAGAACCAATAGATCCATTTTAGAAGAAGTGCAGCCAGAGTGCTCCTTGGAGGCCAAGATGGCCAAACTACGTCTCTCATACTTTGGACATATCGTCAGGAAGGAACAGCCGCTAGAGAAGGATATCATGCTTGGTAAGATGGAGGGTCAGAGAAAAAGAAGAAGACCCCCAACAAGATGGATTGGCCAGGTGGCAGCATTGATGGACTCAAGTGTGGCAACAGTAGTGAGGTTGGCCCAGGATCAGACATTGTTTTGTTCTGCTGTGCATAGGGTCGCTATGGGTCGGTTCCAACTTGATGGCACCTAACAACAAGTCTCCCATTCCAGAGCTTCAACTGGTAATTTTTCCCATTCCAGGCACCATGCCTAATTTGCCAAATTATAAAACTTACTATCTTACTCTGTCAGCTATGACAGAACTCGTTCAAAGGGCTAGCAGGTGTTGTTCTTTAAGCCAAACCTTTGCAGCCCAGGGATCTGCCTGTTGACTTAGAAGACTGGTGTCATGTCTTTGATAATTTACTATAAAACAGCAAGTGTTTATACTGTTTACATGGTGGCTTATTGCTTTTTGTACTCTAAATTTATGCCTGCATTTGAATTATTATTTTAATGAGGGTGAATCAAAAAATAACTGCACTCTGGTTACATTAAAATGCCTGCCTATGTCCACAGCTGATGACAACATTGAGCATGCACTTGAAATGATTCTGTGAAAATGAACACGTGACAGTGAATTGTGTGGCAAATCAGTTATGGTTCTGCCTATGAAATAATCAATGAGACTTGAGTTTCAAAAAGTTTATGTGAGATGGGTACTGAAACAACTCACAGAGAGCATACACAGAAGCATTTGGACATCTGCAAACAAAATTTGGACTGATACTTGAAGGGAGGTAAATGTGTATTTTTAAAAAAATCATTACTGGTGACGAGAAATGGATCCATTCCTATACGCCTGACAGCAAATGACAGAATATGGAAGGGGAACATCCTCAATCTCCAACCAAGAAAAAGTTCAAAAGTCAACCATCAGCTGGAAAGTTGATGCTTTTAAGTTTCTGGGATTCTCAAGGGCCAGTATTGGAATACTGTCAGGAAAAAACGTGCAACAATCAATAGTGCTCATTACAGTGAGATGCTCAATGAAGAGCTGAACCCTAGAACTCAGATTAAAAACAAAAAGCATCATGACAATGTATGACAATGCACATCTGCACACATCTTCCCACTACTGACACTCTGTGTATGACACTCTGAAAAAACTTTGTTTTCAGGTGTTAAAACATCCTCCCTATAGGCCTGATCTTGTTCCATTGGACTTTTACCTGTTTGGTCCTCTGAAAGCATCATTTCAAGGATAAAGAGTCACCTCTGGTGAAGAAGTGAAGACAGTGGTGCATTCATGGCTTGCAGCTCAGCCTAATGCAATTTTTAAATAAGGTAATATGAAAGTTTGTTGACAGATGGACATGTATTGAAAACAGAAATTATGTTGAAAATAAATGTATTTGTCTTTTCTAAAAGTTGATTAAAATAAATTCTATAGCCAGAGTGTGGATAATTTTTGACTCACCCTTATATATGTAGGTTATGCCCCATTACCGGATCACATCTTTATCTCTCTTGTATATTTGTAGTTAGATGTAGATCTAAGACCAAAGAGGCTAGAAATTCAAACCAAGAACAGAATACTGTGGAGAAACAATTTACCATAATGTAAAGAGAAATAGCATATGTGTATGTCTCTCTGCTTCACATATGTATCTGTTCCTACCAGACCCCAAAGTCTGATGTATATAACTGAATAACACTTTCAGTTAGATTTCCCACAATAGCTAAAACTAATATAATAATTTTTTTTTAACTTATCCCAATGCAGAGGCTCAAATATACATAATGAAAAGGGGGTGGTATTATCAAAGGTTGAAGTTGGTTCACAAATTTTAGGGACAAGTACATTAGTGGAGGTAACCAGAATTATTCTATAATAAGAAAGATTAATGGTAATAATCAGTAAGATGACACTATTAAGAGCATTAACTGAGTGTTGCCGTTGGATTGATATTCAATAATTTTGAAGTCTAACTATCACTACTGTAACACAACCTTTCAGCACATAACAATTTTAAAGCAGCATCAGTGTTTCAGTTTCCAAGCAAACCATGTGATTTAACACACAAACACATAACACAAAACTACATATATGTATACTTATATATACATACATATATATATATATGGGAGTCCTGGTGTGGTGCTGTGGGCTAATGTGTCAGACTGCAAAGTCATTTCAACTGCAAGGTTGGCAGTTCAAGCTCACCAGATGCTCCTTGGAAACCCTATACAGGGTCGCTATGGGTCGGAATTGATTTGACGGCACTTAACAGCAACAACAACAACAACAACTATATATATATATATGGTTTTGTGTTAAATCACATGGTTTACATATATATCTATATATATGTAAACCATGTGATATATATATATATAGTTTTGTGTTTGTGTTATGGCATCCTAATAGCTCAGCGATTAAACACTCAGCTGATAACCAACAGGTTGACAGTTCAAACTCAACCCGCCATTTCACAGGAGAAAAATATGGTATTTTGGTACAGTCAAGATTACAGCGTTGGAAACTCTATGGGTTTCCACTCTGTCCTATCAGGTTGCTATGAGTTGGAATCAACTCTACAGCAATGAGATTATATGTATAAAAGTGTATGTATGGATAATTTTTATAGTAAAGCATAATCTTTTATAATATATTAGATTCTCTTTGTTAGAATTAAATTATTTTTAATAAATATTTTAAATACACATTTTACTCTTTTGGCATTACCATCAATGCTATTGAATTAGAAAACAATCTCTTCAATGACATTTTATATTGTTTGCAAGAATGGTAGTGGATTTGATTTTCAGCCAAGATAAAACAAAAGAATGCAGTCCATAATAACTAAAATTCTGTAAATTGTAACATCATCCTTGAAACATATTCTAGTTTTTATATATTATATTGTACTTTTAGAGCCCATTTTTATGCTATCCTAATAAAATGATGCATAGAATTTAACTCATAATAAACCTACCATAAAATATCAACATGTTAACAAAGACATAATCACTATGGAGACTCTTCTGGAAAGGAGAGAAATTTTTTTTAAAAATCAGAAACTTTACTGAATGCAATTTATGCACTGTAATTTGTTCCTCAAAAAACATTTCAAAGCTGCATACTTACTTTCAGACCCAATAATGCACCTGATTCTTTGGGCATGGTTGTTCTCTTGTTAAGAATAACACGTCCAATTAAACGGTCTCCCTCTTTAGATGGCTGCCACGTTACAGGATGCTATTAAAAATTAGCAAAGATTAAAAAAAAAAAAACCCACAATTTGCTTTCTTTCCAATAAACACACAGTTGGATCATGGTGCAATTTACTCAGATGAAAAACATTCTGGAGGAAATTCTTCATTCTGCTGGGCTTATAGTAATTCATTCAGAGCTATATTTTATTTGCATGAGATAGTGATTATCCTAAATACTACTAAAAGTAATTAGCAATGAATCACATGACTAAAAAATGGTTCTGAAATAAAATTACTTGAAATATAAATATATCTAATATACAGAAATCTGATTCTGTAATTTGAGTTGTTCTTAATTATTAATTAGATAGTGTCTTATTTACTTTTGTTCAAGAAGCCCTCATGCTATGGATAAGCACTGGACTGCTAAGCACAAAGTTGTCAATTCACACCCACCAGTCACTTTGCAGGACAAAGATGAGGGTTTCTGCTTACCTAAAGATTTACAGTCTTGGAAACCTTGCATAGGGTCGCTATGAGTCTGAGTTGGCATAATGGCAGTGGGTTTGGTTTGGGTTTTAGATATATTCATTACCTATTCATTACATTTTATTTTATTTGAAATTTGTTATAATTATTTGCTAATAACTCTTTAACTGCATTTTCTTCAAAACTATGGTGATAGTGTGTTAAGGAGTCGGTTCTGATTCACAGCTACCCTGTGTAGAGTTTCCAAGGCTGTAAATCTTATAGGAGCAGAAAGTGTCATCTTTCTTCAGCAAAACAGCTGGTAGTTTCAAACTGCTGACCTTGAGATTAGCAGTCCAACTTGTAACCACTATGTTACCAGAGCTCCTGGAAATTAAATCAACGTTTTTTCTAATACAATGTATAATAGAGCTGACCGTTTATGACACATCAAGTTAAGGATAAAGGACAACATACAATATCCCTGAATTTCAAACACTCCCAGAAGGCTTACCGAACTAATAGGTGATGCTTCCCGGCTGTGCCACGTGGCAGGATCCAACCAATAATAATCCAAATCACCTATACAACAGAAAAGTGTAATAGTGTTTAAAATGTACCACTTTACATATGATTTCTTTAATCTAAAAGTAAAGGGTTATGAATATCATAATCTTGAGTGTGTACATGCAAGAATGATGCACATCTACATTGCAAAGACCAGAATAACTGAAATAAATGTAGGTTAAGAATACACTTTATACAATGGTAAGGCTACCTTTCTCTAGAGTAAATCAGCATAGAATCATTTACACATCAAAAGCACAGAATAAGCCTAACCTCTCCTTGCAGCCTAAGAGCTATTCATACCAAGACACAGCCTGCCACCTAGTGAAGCTGAATAGAATTTTATTCATTGAGCTTAAGTACTGAAATTCACTGTCACCCTTTCTACTCTTCTGATCTGTATCATATGTTTCAAAGTTATTCTCTAGTCTCTATCCTGGTCATTCTCATCTGAAAATCATGACAGATTATTTTTTTAAAAAGACATGATGATACATAAACTTAATAAGAGTAACTTTTGGCACAAGAGTGCATATACAAATGACAAGAGTATTTGATTTTACTAAGGGTGTAAAAATAATTATTCTAATTTGTAAACATGAATTTCTAAATCTTGTTTTTTTTAACATTAAAACTATAATGCCAAAGAAAGCATGTGAGGAAGAAAGGGGAATTTTCATGGAAAGCAGCAGCACTTTAAGTATTTGCAGAAGAAGAAAGACCAGAGAAGAAATGAACATGAGAACTGAATATTAGGGAAGGGAGGGAATAAGTCACCTTTCACATCAGAAATATCAAATTAAATTAATAAAATTTTTCTCTCCAGGGAACATGAAAGAGAAAAAAAACTGTTTGAAGAAAGCATGCTAGCAAACAGTGAGATATCTAGCTGACCACTGGAAACGTATGTTTGGCTGACATCTGTAAAAGTCATTAAGGGAATAATTTTTATGTAGAGAAAAGACATGGAACAGATAGGCACTATAAAAGAAATAAAAAGCAAATAAAATAAAGGTTTGAAATCTGAAGGTATTAAAAATCCATACACTTTAATTTCTTAGCAGCTGCTTTCCCTTTTCCTGAATTATCTTTGTTACATAATTATCTAAAATACTAAAATGTTTTTCAAACTTTTCATGTAGATAGCAGCAGTACATACTACAAATGAGGTGTCTATTAGAAATTGCATTAGCAAAAACTATATTCTGGTAAAATTTAATCCACATGGAGTACATATGCCTTTCAAAATTGTACACTTTAAAATTGGATACATGGCTTGGGCATCAAAGGTTATAAATGTCCAGTCTTCTACTGGAATACCTCAGGTAATGGACTATAAGAAAGATGTGAATGAAAATACTTTCCCTACTACATTTATTATTTATAATAACTTCACATGTTTCCCTTTAAAGTCTCTGTCTTTAGCATTATGACACCATTTCTCTAGAAAGTATACATTAACAGGAATAAAATTGAACTTACTAAGTAGCAAACACAAATGTTTCTTATTATTCAAATGATCATTACTGTAATTTATGAAACTTTCTAACATTTCGGCTACCTAGTAATGAGACCTGATGATTTCTTAAGTGCTAATTTGTTTTTTAAAACTGTGATAATTAATACAACCACTTGGTGGGTTGGGGCTGTAAGGCTTCCCTGCAGGAAAAAGGGGTGGGGGAAAGTTATAGTGTTAAAACTGCTTTGGTAAGTCTTTCAGGTGTTAAAAAAAAATCATCCTATTTTAAGGACTTCAAGAAAAGAATAATCTGAATCCCTCAATAATATATATGACTCATGTCTTAAAATGTGTACTCTTTGGAATCCATCTCTGGCCCATACCTTAGTGTCTGATACAGTAGCTGAAGTCTATATTTCACTCATTATATCTTAAATAGATCAAACTATACATGTATGGTGATGTATGGTGAATGGTTACTGTGAGAAAGTGCTGTTCATAGGCAAAGATAATCAAACATTGATGTTTCCAGGAAATTTTGGTGATGATACTCATCAAATTCTTTGTTATTAAAACACTACATTCAAGCAGTGGGATCCTATCATCTATAAACTTTGTAGTATAATGATCTTAAATAGAAAGACTAGTGGTTACGAATCGGGCTGTGAATCTTAAGGTCAGCGGTTCGAAACTGCCAGCTGCTCCGCGGGAGAAAGATGAGGCTTTCTACTCCCGTAAAGATTTACACCCTCGGAAACCCTGTACAGGGTCGCTATGGGTCGGAACCGACTCGACGGCACTTAACAACAACAACAACTGAGCATATATGAGTTTTTATTGTCAGATGTCTACCCAAGTTTTTTTCCCAAGTTCATCAGGTGATTATAATGTGCACCCAGCAATATTATTTCATTATCCTGCAAAGATACTACAGATTTCACAGCTAACCAAAGTTCTTTACCAATCTTGGCCATCCATAGTACTGTAAATTAAAAACAAGTTTTTAAAATTTCCAGTAGATTCTGACTCATAATATCCTTGTGTATTACAAAGTAGAACTGTTCCATAGAGTTTTCTTGGCTGGAATCTTTAACAAAGGTGGCACAGTTGACTAAGTGCTGGGTTACTAAACTAAAGATCAGTGATTCCAATCCACCAGGCACTCCATGGAGGAAGACGAGGTAGTCTACTTCCTTAAAGATTTACAGTCTTGGAAATTCTATGGAGCAGTTCTAGTCTTTCTGATGGGTCAACTCATAGCAGTGAGTTTGGGGTTTGGAGTATTTAACAAGGCAGATTAGCAGGCCTTTCTTTCAAGACACCTCTGGTAGATTCAAACTGCCAAACTTTAGGTAAGTTGTTGTTGTTCTATGCTATGGAGACTGTTCTGACCCATAGTGCAAACCATTTGAACCACCGTAGTATTTCAGACGCATACTAAAAATTGTTAAAAATGTAAATATAAAAAAAGTTTCAGCTTATATTTGTATATTTTAGTATATACACACAGTCTCTTTTATGCTCTGTACAATACTAAGAGTTTTCGTATTGATAATTTCATTCAGTCATTAAAATATAAAATATTGCTTTACAAAAAATAAACTGTAAAAATCTAAGCATAAGTTTCAAGTTATACTCATATTTGTTTATTTCCATGTGATGACTAAATTTTAAAGATTTTATTGACTTAACTACCTTCGGATTTATTTATAACTTGTATTTCTCCATTATTAATAGTTAAAGCAATATTCGACAATACTCCTAAAATATTCAGAATCTAATGTTTCAATACATAACATTTTCTTTATTTTTCTGATAGATAATTAAAAATATTGACTTCCATGATTCAAAGCTACAAAATGACAAATTGATAAACTACTTTTATAATTGATATAAAAACATTTTAGTTATATATTCAATATAATAAAGAAATTAATTCATTATTATCATTCATTTAGACTTAGAAAATACATCAGGTAATGGAATTTATTAAAGATGTTCAAGTTCTTAACTAGTCAAGTTCAATGAAGTATAATTTGAATTTACTTTTTATGAAGACTTTCAAAAACAAACTTTTTTCTAATAACTTGCTTAAAAAGTGGTAGGTTAATTAAACTTAATAAACAAGTACACAATTTTCAATTCACAAATTATAATCAGATAAATGACTTAAGCCTTCCTTAAAGAGAATTAGCTGTTCCTAAACCAATTGATTGTTGCTGTTATGTGCTGTTGAGTTGGTTCCGACCCACTGTGACCATGTATAGGGCTTCCAAGGAGCAGCTGGTAAGCTTTAACAGCTGACCTTGTGGTTGATACCAACTTTGCAGTCCAGCGCAACAACCCACAGTGAAACATGCATCTCTATGATTTGAAATTTTTGGTATTATGGTGTTGAATGTAAGAGTACAAAGGGTTCCAATATATCAAACTAATTCAATAAAAATACCTTCAAAGTAATATATGTACATGATTGGGAGTATGTGGGTATTTTACAATTGTAAAGGATAAAGTCATAACTTTAACATCACAAATGAAATTTCTGTTAAATTTTCTGTTATTATGAGTTACACATGACCAAGTAGAATGTGTATCTAAAAAGCAGGTAGTAAAGAAAAGGTGAACTGTAATAAAGACTTTAGGGAATAGAAAATTTGGACTACTTCCTTGTCTCTAGCAAAATTACACAGCATATTTTTATCACCATTATAATAAATGATGATAAAAGACAGAACTCAAACCAATTCCATGACTGACTCACAACTACTAATACATATCCATAATTATTCTACGTACCACCTCAAAAAAAAAAAAAATTGTTCTTCCTGAATAAAATATTACTGGCATTTCAAAAAAAATTCAGAGCACAAAACTCAGAAGAATCATTCCCTCTCAGAAATCTCGTACACCTTCAAAAGTATATGTATATATCCTCTACAGATGAAGTGTACTGGCACAAAATTGAAATAGGATGAATTCTGACCTACTTTATCCCACTACTCATCTATCAGTTTGTTGTACTACAGTGGCTTGCATGTTGCTGTGATTTTAAAAGCTATGCCACAGGTATTTTAAAAACCAGCAGGGTCACCTATGGTGGACAGTTTTCAGCTGAGCTTCCAAACTAAGACGGACTAGGAAGAGACAGACTATTTCCAAATATTTTGTCACTGAAAACCATATGAGCAGCAGGGAAACACTTTCATATAGCACCAGAATACTGATTATTGAAATATGATGAAGAGAGCACCAGTGTATTGTCAGATATAGTGCTGGAAAATGAGCCCCTCAGGTTGGAAGGCACTCAAAATAAGACTGGGGAAAAGCTGCCTCCTCAAAATAGAGTTAACAGTGATGGCGTGAATGGAGTAAAGCCTTCAGGACCTTCAATGGCTGATGGGACATAACTCAAAATGAAGAAAACAGCTGTAACATACACTAATAATCAGAACATGGAATATATGATGTATGAACCTAGGAAAACTGGAAACTATCAAAAAATATATGGAACACATAAACATCAATGAGCTGAAATGGACTGGTATTGGCCATTTTG